AGTCCACAAGCCTTTCTGAACGTGAATGGTAAATAGGCAGAACAGGTCCTGTAATATAGCCCATCGAAGTTATGTATAGCGAAGTAGTGCTAGTTTATAACCCCAAATGCGAAAATAGTCGGTTTTCATGTTTTTTCAGTTTTTGATCAACTTCGACAACTTTTTTGGACTTTTGAGGTCATATTTAAAAAGCTCGTGAAAAATTGATTCGAACTATGTGTATATCTCGTGAGTTCAAGACTTCATTATGGTATAAAACTGCATCTAACATGGAAAATTACCTGTTTTTTTCGACTTTTCGCGTTTTTGGCCGAATTTTTTGTCCAAATGAAGTTTTATCCAACTTTTTCCCCGTTGTTCCGACAGCCCGCTCTTTTTTGCACATGACTATATGTATCTGAAAAAGTTTTAGACCTTAATATGGCTTGAGCTGAGCGCAAAAACTAGAAAGATCTAAGAAACACCTTTCAATAACTTTTGAATTTTCGTTTACCACTTCATTTTTTCGAAATATCAATGTCATATTCGTGCTCAGCGTCAAATTTTGAGTCTAATGGTGTATCTTGTTTTGATTTTGACGAAAAAATGTTTCGGTGTTCCAAAGGGGACCTCAGTCTTAAAATTTTTGATGAAAAATGAAAGTGGTTTTCTGGAAAAACAAATTGGCCTGTATGGTTCAGAATTCGACGCTGATTCTAACCAGATAGTTTTATCTCAAAAACTTTTTGGGATGAAAAATAGACATACCGCCACCAGTCCTTTTCCGATCCATTTCGGCTGTTGTAAAAAAAATCCTTCGATTTGGATTCGGTTTGAAATTTTTCGGTATCAACGCAGAAAAATGAGTTATACCTGTCGAAAATCTAATGATTCGATATTCTTTTTCCAGGTAATCACCAAAAATAAAAATCCATATTCTTATAATATCATATGCGCTGACTTTGCTGTTGGCTCCATAAGTTGACAGCAAAAAAGAGCCAGATGATTTTATTTCCTAGGAAGAAGACACGGCTTGAACCATGTGGGTATAGTAACAGTGATTTTCGATCGCACCCAACCATGATTGTAATTTATCAAACGAATGTGGTTTATAGTATAGTAGAAGAGGTACACCGTTAGCCAGTGGAACAGGAAAACTGACAAAAGCATTTGTTTTTTTAATATAAAAGAGATAACATAGAAAGTTTGTTAAAAACATACTGACTTCACGTATAAGGTTAAAGCTTTTTCCTAACTACAGCTTCATTCAGAAATATTTTCTATAGTTGTCACGTTTTCTTACAAAAAAGTACCGGGTCTGTCGGTCGCTCTTCTATCGAATTGCCGATCCGATTACAACTCTGCTGTGAATCCGTCGGTCTGTCTATCGCATTTAGTCACTCTACTGTGTCAAAAATTATGCACAAATTATGCACTTTCTTCAAAGATTTAATAGCTAGTGAATGCCTATTGGATGGACGAATGGCTCAAATCTGAATGAAAAAAAATCGTGAGCTCTTATTCTGAACTGATAGTAATAATAAAAGTTTATCCTCAAAATCTGATAGCATAGAGAAGTAAAGTATTTTTGCGTTTTACGGTTTTCCACGCTGCGGAAACGAACACCAGCAATGGCTGATTTTATCTGTGTATTTGACTGCAGCCATTGTGGTATTTCGTCAAACTCAATGACTTGTAATTGTGTACAGTTTTGTTAAAGAAATAAAGGTCAAAATAAATGGAAAATAACTTAAGTGACTCAATTTTTGGTATAAGAAGTTTTCTTTGAATTGTAGTGATCGTTGCAATCTACGCTTCGAACCAATGAGTCATCATATACACTTGTTCAATTTAAGTAACGTTTCCTTGGCTTTTGGAAATTTACGTTTTTTGAATGAATTCAGGCGAATTTTGAATTTAACGGACTGAACTCAACCGTTTTCCCTCGATTGCGTTCTGTAAAAATAATAAATCCAGTTCCTTTTCTTCTTTTTTCTGTACAAAATAAATGGTATGTGGGGTGTGCGAGAAGTGTATCTCATATAGTGATAACATATCACTGATATAAATACACTTCGGATATCGGCGAACTCCGTTGAAATTCAATGGATGAAGTTTTAAAATTCAAGCCGAAAAATTACAAGAACTCATTTGAAAAGAGGATTTCTATTGGCAGAAAACAACTACAGAGATTATTCAATGATCACCTTGCAGAGATCGGCGAGTCAAGCCATTTTTCGAGTCGAGTCGAGTACGAGTCATTAAAAAAAGGTGACTCAAGTCGACTCGAGTCCGAGTCATGACTCGGACTCGCCCATCTCTGTCACCTTGCGTTAAAAGTAGGCATGCACCAGTTACAGTTAACTGTAAAACTATAACTATCATAATTGTTCCGAAGATAGTTCAGAATGAGTTATCGTTGTACTATTAGCATAGGTTTCAGAGTAAGACAAAAAAAGGACATATATTTAGCTTTTCTATAGAATTGGCAGAGGTTAGTTACGTCTTTGAAGATAATTATTTCAGTCGACAAAACCACATCTATTTCTTTATTGGGCAATCTAAGAACCTGTGCGCAGCACATGAAAAACGTATAACACACTGTTAGAGTATAGAAATGAAACGTTATAAGACGAGAATAAAAAATAGGCATACAACAAAAGCATTCAATATTAAGAGTCCCAGCATATATATATATACATGAGTATATCCGATACAAATAAAATTTAGCAGGAGAGCTATCTCTTTACTGTTTTTCCTGCATTTTTTTTCTAATATAGATGGCGAAAATATTAGTGCACAAGCTTCATTTTTTGGAAAGCGCAGTAGTGTAGAAAGCAAAAGGTTTTTTTTTATTTAGTAATTTTACAACCGCCTTCTTAGTTACTAGAGACTCAGACAGAATTCATTTCTGATTTTCATGGAGTTTGTCACTATAAAGTAGAGAATTGTGACGGATTGTCTTTCTCTATTGTGGCAAAACTACGATTAGTAAGAAGATGGGTGATCACTTCCCAAGATCGAACCATAAATATGGTGCTTTCCACATTTATCTCAACAGTTGTTGAGTGAAAGTTACTAGATACAGTTTATGTTTAAAAGGATGAGTCATTTCTGATAGAATGAAAAGAAATACTTAATGTAGAGAAGCAGAACATGTGCATTGTACAGTGATATCGTGCTTCGCTCTCGTCGTGTGAAAGCTATCGTTCGTTGTTCGATAAGAACAAGGAATAGTGACACCCTCATACGGTGTGGACGGAGTTTGTGTTGCTTGTCGTGCCTTAACTCTGTCTTTCTCAACGGAAACCACCTGACGAGACCCTTGAGAAAGGTCGAAACCGGTCGTGGTATCTTCTTTGATTCTTTCAGAAATGAATTCTGTCTGAGTCTCTAGTAACTAAGAAGGCGGTTGTAAAATTACTAAATATAAAAGTTATTTGAACACGGTTTTAAGCAAACAGGGTTTTACTATGGATTTCTTCACAGTGCAGACACGGATGTTTTTCGAATAACTTGAGAACGAAAAGAGACAGAGAGTTCCGGTTTCAGCATTTTGTAGAAAAGGCGTTACTCTATCTGACACATATGAGTCGTTTGCAAAGTAGTTTCTCTAGAAAATTCATGAGAAACTTGACTTTGAGCAAAAGAAATAAACGCCACATGTTCAATATTTGAACCAATTTTGTCGGATTCTTCAGTATAAAGATGAACTATAGTCAGTAACATCACACTGAACTTTCTACGGCTCTGCACTACTTGGTGAGGGTTCTTTTGTTATACAAAAATAGATATTTACACGTCCAAGAGCAATAGTTAGTGTTCCCTCTAGACAAATCTTACGCATTTCCTGTGTATTTCCTACTAGGATCTTACATTATTCTAACGCTTAGGATCCACGTGATGACTTCCTAGTAGGAACCCAAAATGCTGAGATCTTAACAGGATTTCGCTCAAGTTTCTGAGAATTCTAAAAGAATCTGAGAAAATCTTATGACTTTCGGGATGCCTTATTGCATTAAGAAACATATAGGGATTTACTAGGGCATATTGAATGTCTTGGGTACATTAAAATGGCCTTTAGATACAACCTTGACCCGAGGTCCTTTACAGGTCGAAAAAGTGTGCTGCCATCATAAGAGATGTATTACTTCATATATCACTGCTTATCAAAACTTGTCTTTTTCCTTGTGCTACGTTCTCGTTTTCTGATAAAGTAAAATCGAGAGTTACTACTACCCGAACAACTACTAGTAAATAAAAATGGATAAAACTGAGATCTTGGTGGACAGATCTAACAGATGCAAGATCAATGAATACATGTGGAATGGACTCTTATGGGAACTCTAAGAATGAGAATATTGAGATACTTCGTTTCGCAAAAATGCCACACATCATCTCGGAATTGCCCTTATTAGTAGTACTCGCCGTATGCTATAAACTTTGTTTTCGTCTCTCACTGTATATATTTTGCAAATACCGTTGTTTTTTAAAAATACCTGTATTTTTGCCATCAGTGTGTTATGACGACGCACTCACAAGGGTGCAGATTTCGACCGTTATCCGGCGGGGTCCTGTTGTTATTTCTTTTCGAATAACGTATAGAAGAAAGAGAAAAATATGAATACGACAAAAAGCGACGATGCATATAAATGAGTAATAATTGTGCCTTTAACGTCAAACGAATCTCCAGTACTTTTCATGTTCTTTCTTTTTATGTTTTTCCTCTGAACATATAGAATATACCTATTAAAGCACATACATCTAAAAATATATCAAAGTTCATCGTTGTAGCGTCATGAAATTTTGCTATTTCTTTTCGAATAACGTATAAGAGAAACAGAAAAATGAAAATGTGTTTTTATCGCTCTGAAGCGGGTCAATACGGTATCACTATTCTTCTTCATTTTTCAGATATAGAATGACTGTATGGGTACGTATATTAATAAAAAGATATACTTTACAAGGATGAACTTTATCGTCGCTTTTTATTGGTTTTGTTCATCGATTATATATACAGTATGTATTTGAAAGAGTGTATGCAGTATCTACATGATACAACAAAAATGGATAACGATAACGTAAGTTGTAACTGAATAACACACGTCTACCATTCAGCTACTCATAGAATGAAATTGAATGGTCATTGTTCAGACCACATTAGACTACTACACGGTATTCTGCATTTATATAATTCCATAAGAGCATGCTGCACAATGAAACGTCTTTCTCACTGCCGTACGGGTCATTTGTTTGAAATTTACTTTCTTGAAACATTCAGAAAACACACCTTAGGTGAGTTGCACTAATGCCTAGAACGGCAACCCTCATCCCGCTTTCCAACTCTCGTTGCTTTCTTTTCACTTGTCATAAGTAATTAATACTAGCAGGATAGACACGTTTCGAGAAAAAAGTTGCAATCATTGTTGGAAGCATTATCACCATAAATTTTAATGAGAACTGAGAAAGTTTTGCTATAAACAAAGTGATTCATCACAGGTATTAATCTCTTTCTTAATATACGTACCCATACAGTCATCCTAACGGGTGGCGCAGAATGAATGGCGGTCTCAGTATTTTGGCTCTAACTCCTGTCCCTTAGGTCCTCTAGAGTAAATTCTTTTTTTAATAAAACCGCCGTAACATTCTCTACAAAATCATACCTACAAGCTTTAATTTCAGAACGTCAATCGAGAAAACTAAGCAAATTATACGAAAGGCGAAAAAAATGAAAACTTTATAAATTTGGTAGTTTTTTCGAATTGAACTGTTTCTTCAGCTCTTATTTTCTAGAAAAAGCGTAGCAAAAGTGAGAATTCAGTTTGTGTTTGTTACTTTGAAATGTGCTCTTTCTCGTGGTCTGTAAAAAGTTTTTTTAGAGCCGACGGTGTGCTCGAGAACGAAGTTTCAAAAATACGTCAAAAATTGACTCTATGTCGTTTCCCACAATGTGCTCAAGCAACAAACGGAAAACATGATCGAAGTTTTGATTTTGCAGTTAGATAGAGAAGAGCAATCATTTCTGATCAAAAGAAAACAAACCCGATCATGCATGAAAAAATGCATGACATCCGACAGAAAAGTTATTATTTCACCGTGGGTTTTGGTGTGAAAAAATTTAAAGTGTAGCAAAAAGATAGTCAGGGCTACAAAATGGCTAATTCAGTTGTTCTTACTTTCAAAACGTTAACATAAGAAATCGTTTTTGAGTTTACAAAGTTTTCATGTGTTTCGCCTTTCGTATAATTTGCTTAGTTTTCTCGATTGAAGTTCTGAAATTAAAGCTCAGGTATGACTTTGTAGAGAATGTTACGGCGGTTCTATTAAAAAAAGAATTTACTCTAGAGAACCTAAGGGACAGGAGTTAGAGCCAAAATACTGAGACCGCTATTCATTCTGCGCCACCCGTTATATCTGAAAAATGAAGGAGAAAAGCTATTAAGAAATTATTACTCATTCATGTGCATTGTCGCTTTTTCCGTATTCATATTTTTCTCTTTCTCTTATAGGTTATTCGAAAAGAAATAACAAAATTTCATGATGTATCGAATGAAGTAGTTTTAGAAATATGGGATTATTTGTACAGTGCACATGCGATCCATAGTTTCTTTAATATTAATTATCGTTATGATTCACTACTGAAACAGTATTGCATGAAGGAACTGGATTTGTGTGATGTTGAACTGTGGATTTTTCGTTCTTATTGCGAGAAACACTTGATTAACAAGAAGCTCAACGAAAATATTGAAATAATAAAGCTAGGACATCCATTCAAATGTGGTCACCACGAGTTGTTTTCAAAAATGAATAATGGTAATCTTTTATTAGTGTTTAGGATGATTGAAGGTAGCTAGAGTGAATTTTTGTGAAATCTCTACATCCTAACTTATGCTGGCTCTTAGTAAAGTTGCTTTGCATTTGAGCAACCGTTCTAGTTTCGAACGCACTGGAAGATACACTTGCTGTTGCCAATGATGGCCAGCCTGTCCTCTATCTATAGGATAAATTCGACAATGGTACCGTCTTGCGTATTCAAAAATCTGACTTTGAGAAATAAGCGATTCTTCGTATGTGTATGGATTATATCATTTTGTGGGCTCACCATTCGTTGATCTGAATAAATTGTACGGTACGTGCATCCTCATAAGCATGCTATACCGTTCGCATGTCATTGAAACACGTCAGTTAGGGTATCATTTAGTGTTCTTGTTGTTACAGGGAATTTCATCGAATTGTTTCCAAACCTTCACACAGTTGTTTTGATTAACGTTAAAGACGATTTATTGAATAACTACTTTGATTTATTCAAAGTTTTGACAAGTTTTACGATAATTGGATGTTCGTTAAAAGATTTATCTCAGCATATTTGCAAACATCTGTTATGTAGCGATAATGATACCACTGCACTCTACGAAAGAAGATTGAAGCAGTGTGTTCTCCGTAGTATGGAGCACAGGGAAAATGGACTGGTTATAGACCAAAACGTGAAATTGAAGAATCTTCTGCCATTAAAATCGTTATGCGAATTACGTATCAATATTCAAAACTTTAGGTCGTTACCAATATTACTCACATACTTGCCAAATTTAATCTGTTTAGGTATTAAAAATAGCGTCTTTTTTAGATTTCATTATGATGTTGTTTTTGAGGAGAATATGTGTCAGCTGAGAATCAAACCATTGCGCAGTGATAGATCGTTTGACTAGTGAATCAATATGCTTAGTTTGATTCCTGGTTGAGATATATTGTTTTCTAACTGAACATCACAAATAATCATCCCAATTTTAGTTTAAAAGCATTCTAACTCTAAGAGTGGTGGTTTGTTCATCACCATATACGCGGTAAAATAAATGAATATACAATTTGTCATTCTGAGTCGTAGCTTTGACCACGAAGAGATACTTTAATGGAAAAAGTATCTTAACATGGATGTTTGATTTTTAACTGTTACAAAACTTTCTTTTATTTTAGATGCACATATTGGCGAAGATGTTCGGCATGAAAATGATACGGAACAATATTATGCACAAATGATTAATTTGCAACATTTAACAAAATTTGTTTTCAGGTTTGTTATTTGATTTAATGTCATAGAGGTTGCACCTGAACTAGAAAGCGTATTTATTACAATAAACTTTTACCTTACGGGAAACATCAAAGCAAGAGTGTACGAAAACAAAGTTTATAGCATACGGCGAGTACTACTAATAAGGGCAATTCCGAGATGATGTGTGGCATTTTTGCGAAACGAAGTATCTCAATATTCTCATTCTTAGAGTTCCCATAAGAGTCCATTCCACATGTATTCATTGATCTTGCATCTGTTAGATCTGTCCACCAAGATCTCAGTTTTATCCATTTTTATTTACTAGTAGTTGTTCGGGTAGTAGTAACTCTCGATTTTACTTTATCAGAAAACGAGAACGTAGCACAAGGAAAAAGACAAGTTTTGATAAGCAGTGATATATGAAGTAATACATCTCTTATGATGGCAGCACACTTTTTCAGTAGAATAAAAAAGTGAGAAGAGAACGAGAGAAAATGAGAAAGATATTGAAAGAAAAATAAGTGCATGAGTATATAGGGCTATGCATTGGAAAGTCTCTTCCATCACAAGTACCGGTGAACAACGGATGACTTGAAAAGTTTATTCAGCTCTCTTCGAATAGCCGAAGAGTACAAAGAAACTCGAATACGAGTGCAAACTCATTCGATCACATTTTAATGAAAGAGCTCTGAATGTTGTTTTAAAGTTCAAAAAAAATAAAAATATTACTTAAAATAAAGTACAATAAGGACCTCGCAAGGCACAATTTTTTAAAGCAGCTTTTCCCCACCTGTAAACATAATTTGAGTAATAATTGGCGCTATTAGACTCATTTAAGTACTGTGGTTAGTATGTATGCCTGTCTAGGAGTTATTGCACGAGAAATACGACAGATTGCAGTGACGCTTGTAGTGTAGCTTGGAAAACTGTGAGAGATGAAGACGAAATTGTCTCACCATAGGTAGTCCTTAAAGTTCTTTATCTCACGAAGTACTCAAATCTTTGTTACCTTGGATCTACTGTCCAGAACCTTAACTATTAGAAACCCTCCTGGTCTAAATATTATTCGCTATCGTTTGTGACTAGGAAGTGATCCGACTCGCTTTATTTAATGCGGGACCATGGGCTCTGTAAATCCGTCTTCAAAAGTTTGGTATTTATAAAGGATCTCTGGAAATACTAGTAGGCTTTCTAGAAAACTTTTCCAAAATGACTGTCGAATACATGGCTGGATAGAGCGTAAAGTTTCAAGCAAAATAATATGCCATGCAAGTTTTAATCATTTTCTTTAGCAGAGAGTTAATAATGCGGCTTTGAAGCAATGATTTTTTCTATTGAAAATCCACCTCATTACAACTCCTTTAAGGACCCCCGGGTCGCAAATGCCGATTTTCGTCCAAAATATGGATTCTGAGAAAAGTACATGGTTTGATAGCTCAAAGTGTCTGCTTTCGAATGGCATAATTTTTGTGTCTATAGAATAGCTTTTTCATGATTTTGAACGAGTTTTTCAGAACTTCTATAACAAAAAGATTTTTTCGAGACTGTAGTTTAGCTTCAGAGCGTTCGCCACGCGCAGGAATTCTCGGTAACGATACGTCGGAGAAAGCTTTTTTTTGTTTTTGATTTGTATATAAGAGCTATAGCTAGGACTTGACAGAGTCCGACTTTTAATTTATGCATCCATGTTTGATAGAAATGAGGGTTTCTAAGAAATCTTCTAAGGATTTTTTTTGGATTTTAAAGTTCTATTAAGCACTAGAAACCAGTAAATGAGAAATTCAAAAGTCGAGCCCTGTCAACTTCTAGCCATATGCTTTACTGCAAAATAAAAATAGCCCTAACTCTCTCTCATTTACCTGGAATGAAAATTTTTTCTCGTGGTAGAAGCCTATTTTTGCTCATTGTTGTGGCGCTCTCTCACGAACAGTTGCAAGTGACGCCAAAAAAATTTTCTTTACCACACTTTGACATGGTCAACATTTCCTGACAGTTTCGTTCAGATCGGACCTACCTGGGCTGAGATAGGTTTCTGAACCGGCGAGAGAACCTTAATACAGATGATAAAGTCCTCAGGAAACCTCTTCACTGTGCCCTCTAGAACAGGAACCCATACCCAGGTGGAGAACCAGATCTGGTCAGTTTTCGTGAAAAATACGAGATTCTCATCTTGGACTTTTCATCAAAAGTCGAGTTGACTGGGATGACTAATTAGAAGACCTAATGGTCTTAGTAACTCTAAGCAATAGTTTCCATTTTTAGAATGCATAATATTGTGGTCTGGGATTATGAAAAGGTTGAAATGTTTCTGAAAAATTTTACTTCATTGAAGCAACTTCATTTAACCATGGCTTATCTAAATGATCACTATCCCCTAAATCATATCGATGGTGAACGATTGTGTGATGGATTATTGAGAAAGCTGTCAAATCTAACCGAGTTTCACTTTGTACTTCATTGTTCGCTGCCATCTGGTGTAACACAAGACGATTTAATCAAAACTTTTAAAACTGGTGAGTCTTGTATATTGATGTTCTCTAGACCATCGGGTGAATAAAGTTTAATAAACAGAGAAAGCTAATGCGAAACGTATCACACATTCGAATCAGTTTTTGAAGATGTTGCGGAAAGTGAACTACTCGACACACAGCCTTATATAAATTTGTCATATACAGATGTAATCTAGATAGGAGTCGGACAACACATGGAATTTCAAAATCTATGCACATCCTACTGTATGTAGCATCATGCAAGCAACTGATCAAGCCAAATCAGAATTACATGAGGTCATGTTTTCTTTATGCCAAAGAGAAGAAAGGTTTCTGACATGTTCATGGTCTTCTATCTCCGATTCTGAATGAAGTGAATTGCTGACGCTTGTTTAGTCATTGCACATTTTCGTACATTTATTCTTCAACTGTTACTCAGCACAAGATTTTAGTAGTTATATAAAAGCTTTCCTTTGCGAAACACTTTGATACGAGTATTAAAGCCCCAGTGTGCCATCGAATTATCTAAAGTTAAACTTGAATCGTCTTTTTGAACATAGAAGAGACGTTTCTGTTGTACAAATAAATTTCATCCAGTAAGATGGTCAAGGAAAACACGTATAATGAAATACGATGCCGGAAGATTTTACCAGATTTATTTTGTTTAATAATTTTACAGAATATTGGTTCACGGATCTTCCAACGTTCGTCGGATGCTATATTGATCGAAACAATAACATGTATCGTCTTATGACCTTCCCATATGTGTTTGATGATACCTTCGTAGTGAGCACAGATATTTTAACTATGCAGTTCAACAAGCCAGTAGAGAGCGTTAACTACCAACATTTCTTATCAAGAATGTTATGGAAAAATATCCGTCGCCTTGTACTCCATCTTAATTTCAACGAGAATGTCACAAAATCATTTCTCATGATTCTCCAACAATGTCGAAAGCCTCTTCTAGGTGGTAAGTTCTCTACATCATTTAGTTTCTCATAGCGATATCTCTTTTTGGATCTAAAATCCGCGATTTTTTCACCTTACGAACTCACGATTCTTTTTCGTTTATATGTTTTAGAGTCTCGCAATATCACGTCATCATTTTTAAAGCATGTTAAACAAATTACAATTGGAAACCATAAATACACGTTAATCAGTAATGAAAGTGACAATATTGTACTAGACCACTTTAATTTGATGGAAATCAGAAGTTACCTCCACAATCGTCCTTCAACTGATTTACGTAAGTTCCAGCAAGGAAAATCATATATTTTATTACGGCTACTCAGAGGATAATGAGCCTTTCAATAAATTTCAAAAATAAGCAGATGATCTTGTTTGCATTGTGATCGATGTACGCTAACCCCGTCGACATACACTAGAACGTATTTTAAAGTCTATCTCTTTAGTATCTAAATCGACGGCACTTTTATTTGTGATCAATTATTTCTCAACCGATAATTCACAAATTCGTTCAAAAGGGTTTCTTATTCTATAATAGTTAATCATGTAAACCAGTGCATGATTGTGATTATTTTTCATGCATATTTCAAAGTATTTATTACCCATGAGGTTTTTCTTCGATAAAATATCGCGATTAGAGGCGATATTTTAATTTCGATAAGTCTTAAATCTATCGAGACGTCACCTTAGACCGCCAAAAGAAAATTTATCGCGATTTACCATGCTGGATAAAATAATCGGTTTATATCTGAGGTGAAATTTTTATGCAGATAAAGTTTACCATTATCGGAATAGTCATCTATCGGGATGGAAAGCGATACTTTATATAGTGCGGTCTAACGTGACGTCTCGAATGATAATAATCATTCGCACTTTTATACTCCCTGAAGAGTGATGTCAAGTGCAGTTTTGCGGTCGAAAACTGTGGAAAAATTAGGAGCTTCAAGCTCGTCAAATAAAGAAGGAGCTATAGAAACTATATACGAAATCCGTTTAATAAACTTTAGCTGTAAATCAAAAAGAACACAAGCTTTAGAATTCCATTCAGAAACTAACATCACGAGCTCAAATTTCAGATGGGCTGAATGCATAATCATTGTTGGATATCATTGTTCATAATCGAACAGTAGACGAGCAATTAATGGAAGCCATCCTTTCTGTACTAAGTTAAAGTTTATTAAACGGATTTCGTATGTAGTTTCTATAGCTCCTTCTTTATTTGGCGAGCTTGAAGTTCCTAATTTTTCCACGGTTTTCGACCACAAAATTGCACTTGACATCACTCGTCAAGGACTATGAAAGGGCGAATGATTAATAAATACTTTAAAATATGATTGTATAAACTTTAGTTTACATGATTAACCGTTATAGAATAAGCAAAACCTTGTGAACGAATTTGTGAAGTATCGGTTGAGAAATAATTGATCATAAATAAATGTGCCATCGATTTAGATAATAAAGAGATAGACTTTAACATACGCGTGCACATCAAAGCCCGTTATCGAAGATCGACAGTTTTCGATGCTATGTTCGATTCAGGATTGCATAAGTTTCAGACGCAGTAGAACTTTTCAGGTTTGCTAGCGTATATTGTGGGAGTAGTTAAGTTGTAAAAGAGGTCGTTCTAGTATATGTTGACGGGGTTAGCGTGCATGGATCATTTTTACCACGATCGCCCGATAAAAACTGGAGTTTTGCAGAAAATTCTTAGAACAACATGTCAGAAAATTTTGGACAAAATACATCGATTTTCTTTTTCGATGTTCTCTCTCTGTGGTATAGCTTCGATGTCATATACCTATATGTTTACTTTTCAGAACATGTGGAAATAATCGAAAAATGGTTTCATATGCTGCCAAATATTAAAATACTCACTGCAGTCAAACATTGATTCAAAGATGTTCAACGGAAAATTTGTACCAATGTATAAGAAAGCGATGTATCCTGATATTCTTGCGTTATTTTCATTCTTATGTTGTAATAGTCAGAGAATATTGAGTAGTTTATTTACGGAAATAGAAAAACAGATCATGCGCAATCTTATTAAAGTTTTGTTTATATCAATGACATGCTTCATTCATGTAACACCAACAAATACAAGCACAATATATGAATAT